GGCCCTTTTACACTGGCTACCTTTTGCGTTGCATGTTCTTTCTGGCTGCCGTGAAAAGTTGGATGTTAATTACGGGCGAAGCCTAGAAATGGACCTTTTTTGTACCTAATCCTCGAAAAATCTCTCCTTTTAGTAAAAAAAAGATTTCTTAGCAAAACTTAGGCTTATTTAACGTCACGGCAGCTAAAAAACCTGACTAAACGGTTGGAAACGGTATTTTTTGGCGAAAGTTTGGTATTCAAACGGTTAAAAATTTCTTTAATGCCAGCATCATTTGCTTTGGTTATCGCGCGTCACTTTTTCCTATTTGTGACGTTGGCATGCCTTGATTGGTCATCTAGTTAAGGATGATCATTGACCCTTTTGATCTCGTTTCTAGCTAGAAGGTTCAATTTTATTACATGTCCTTTGAAATTGCCTCGAAAAACAATTACTTACGATGTCTAGATCATATTTTAAAAGCTGTTGACAGCTAGCTGTGCGTGCCTTGCCATAGAAACCAAGCTTTCCGGTCACAAAAATTCCAGGAAACCATGGTGATCGTTATTCCGCGATCAAGTAACAATTTTACAATAACTGCAGGAATTCCCGCGTGCTCATTGCCTAATTTCACTTGTCAATAAACGGAGAGACATACGAATTTATAATTTTTACGATACGTCAACGAGCGAGAGCGGACAAATTGGCATCAGTTTTTTATGCGTCTCTCCTGTTATTATTGACAATGAATTTCGTCATAACATCGTCAAAGTAATCTGTGGATCCACGAGGCAATAGCCTCGTGGATCCACAGCTACTTTGACAATGTTATGACGAAATTCATGATCAATAACAAGGCAGACGCATTAAATAAACCTTTTATACGAAATTTTGCAAATTAGTGCAATTATCCATAGTTCTAAGGTCTCTCAAGCTAAGGTGACGACTGAAATTGTCTCAAAGGTGTTTCCTGTGAATCCAACTGCCTCTCCGGTTAATCTGTGTTATTCCAATCAATGCTGTCCAATAGGGCAGAGCAGATTTCTGTGATCCTAGATTTTCCGCGATTTTGATGGGCTTAAAAAGTTCTTTAATGCCAGCATCATTTCCTTTGTTTATCGCGCGTCACTTTTTCCTACTTGTGACGTTGGCATGCCTTGATTGGTCATCTATATTTATGACTTAATTTTATTGGTTAATAGCGATATATAAACGCCCATTTTCCAGAGCGTATTTGTTCGCGCTGGTTTGGGTTAGGTACACACGCTGAGGTACAACGAAGTTAATTACAGGAGCATTCAAGATGAAGGGCTTTCAGCTGACTATATTCGTTTTCTTTGCTGTTCTCGCAACTGGTGAGTTCATACCTTTGTTTATTGCAACTTCGAACTTAAAAATAGGTGTACAGTTAAATTGAGATCAATCGGTTCAAGACCGCGGGGTTGCCTGCCGTTGAATAATGTAGAACGTGGAACTAAACTCACACCTTTCAAACTTCGATTTCGTTTCAATAAACTTGTACCTACTAGAAAAAGAGCTTACCTACAGCCAACATTGATATGTGAATGCGTCGAGTCCGAAATCCACCGACACAGTCGAACGATTGCGGAAAACATATAGATGGCTATTTATCCGCCGGGCCAGCTACACAGGCTATTTCTAAAGGAAGAAAATTCAAAGAATTCAAAGTGTACGAAAGGAGCATTGGTGTCCATAGTTTGTTTAATACCGGTCTCTTAGTCGTCTGTTATACAGCAATGCGTTTGGGGTTCCGCCCTCCATTTTAGAACTGGCTCCTCGTGGTATCGGATTTATTGTTTAGCATCTGCAAAATTTCTGCGTTTCTATTTGTTCAATGGACACCAGATTTCCTTAATATGGCCTCCGTTTTTCTAGTAGGTGGTGTGATGAATTAGTCAGCTCGGCAGTGTCGTTTCTTCCGAACCAATAACTACATCGATTTCGTTCTTTCCCTCGCAAGAATCGCAAGACAAAGGACACCACATTGGGCCTATTTAGGCCACTTAAATTATTCGCTTGACTCGACTTCGTTGCAGCCACAATTCAAGGAGGTTTTCTTAGATTCCAGACAAACATTGATTCCAAGATACACTTTATCATAGAAGCTGAAATTACGGTCTCTTTTTGAAAGTGAAATACGATAACCATCCTTCGACTTTTTCCTTTCGTTTCTGTTTTCCTTTTTACAGTATCAAGTCAGATAATTTCTGGTGTGATCGAAATTTCAGTGGTTTTGTTTGCTCAGTCGTTTCTGGACAACATCGACAATTGAATACATGCGGTGATTCCAAGATACACTTGATCATAGAAGCTGAATTTGCCTTCTCTTTTTGAAAGTGAAATACCATAACCATCCTTCGACTTTTTCCTTTCGTTTTTGTTTTCCTTTTTACAGTATCAAGTCAGATTATGGTGTGATCGAAATTTCAGTGGTTTTGTCTGCTCAGTCGTTTCTGGACAATAATTTGTGCTGCGTTTTCAGAGCTAGGACAACTTTGATTAGTTATTGACGCCACAAAAACCCGCAATCACAGCGAAATCGCTTCGTTCAGAGTTCGACTAGTCAAAATTTCCTTTAGTCCGGGAATTTGACCGACTCGACAAATATTATTTCCCTGTCGCAGCCAGACTGCTTGCTTTAATATAAGCTGCGTTACGGGTCATGGACCCTTAGACACTCCAGTCGGTGGGATTCCACTTTTAAAAAATAAAACGGGTTGTCTGTGACTTGTCTGTGACGCCTGTCTTAACAAAACGTTTGTCAGCTTCCGAAGCAGGACAACAGTCAACAGCTCCTTTGATGAATTTTTTCGAGTCAATATATATTTTTCCTCGCTGGAAAATGAAACCATTCTCACTGATAAAAAAATAATGAGTTAACAGATTTGTTAGCCTAAACAGTTTTGTCGATCGTCGGCGTGGGTGCAAAATGTTTCCTCTATTAAAACAAGGCATTTTTATCATTTTTATCACCGGAAATCGCTGCAATTTCGTACTATCTCACGAGGTGCTATGTTGAATTTCAAAATGCCGCAGCCAAACGTCTTGCGTGTAGTGACAGGCGCGTGTCAGCTTATTAATGGTGAGACGCGATTAGCGGGATAGCAACATATAAAGAATATATATATTCTAGATCAGTTGTCAAGGAAAGCGTCTCATTCTCTCCCATCTGTTATTTCAGTGTCTGGCCTCAAGTGCTATTCCTGCATGGGCACGGATAAAACTTGCTCAAAGGAGAAACTGCAAGAGGACAACAGCAAACAAACGATCTGTCACCTTGGAATGGATAAATGCATGAGGACCTGGGTCAAAAAAGACAGTGACACACTGGTAGTTAACTCCTGCGGCAATGACGCAGAATGTAAAGAATTGAAGGAAAAATGCGACGATGCCAAAGATGGAGAGTGTGCCGTGGGCTGCTGTGATAGCGACCTGTGTAACGCGGGCTCGTCTGTTTCCTTCAGCGTGTTCTTGATGACCGTCTGCTCTGCTCTGGGCCTGGCACTACTGAAGTGAAACAAAGAACGACAAACCCCGGGCGAAGTTTTGATGTCACTGTAACTCATGTTGCAATTTAGGAGGAACTATAGCTAACTGTGTTTTTTGAATTTCGTGTCTATGTTTAGCATTTCCATATTCATTAGTTGCCTGTAGTGTAGCCACTTGAAACTTGACTTCACTGAATAATCCGATGATGGTCAATTGATAAGCATGTATTACGAAGATGTTAATTCAGTAAGGTTTTCGATATTAAAAGTGTTTGAACGCAACCTTTTCGAAGTGTAATTCCTTAGTAAGGCCCTAGAGGAAACATTCAAATCGTTAGGGTTGTTTTCTCACCACAGAACTCCACACAAAATTCACCGGAACGTCTTTTGTGTCACCATTGGTGAAACGTGCCCTTTGATTTGTTGACGATCTAACCTGCGATCAAGCGTGGTTTTTTTTTTTTTTGGCAAAGGGGCAAGGGTGGAAAAAAAGAACGCCCGGTCGCAGATTATTGACGATCTGCAAAATTCGTCTGCTTGGAGAGATCAGCTCGGATGAACACGATGAGTAATGGCTGTGCACATGCGTCATAATTCTTGGTACATTTCTTTGCCGTCCTCTACAAAACAACAGTAACGTGAAATGACCAAATTCTGCGTTGTCCAGAGAACGTGAACCACGACGGCCAATTTTTTTATTTCTATTCCAAATGTTTCGCCCTGTCCGAAATTCAATTTCATGATGGTTTTGACGCTAAGAAACAAAAAAAAAAATGACTCGGGAGTATCGCGAGATTCGTGGGTAAAATGTAACATCGTTTTTTAATCGACATTATCCTCGGCGTCCCGTCCTGGTTTCTTAAAGTCCCTAATGACCGCGAACGCGAACGATGAGTCGAACTGCTAATTTTTCGTATTTCCATTTAGAATTGAACGCTGTCATAACATATTTAGCCTGAGCGAGGTTTTAGAGCCATATGCATCCTGGACGGCGTCGCCGCTGTCATTGTTAAGATCCCTATATTTGCATCTCGGATGCTGGAAGGTCGATACACTTGTTTAACGTGGGTTCTGTCATCATAAGTGGCTGCTTTGTGCTTTGCTTATGTTTTATCCCAAGACCAGTCGAACGCAGATGAGAGTATCGTGTAAAAACCGTTGTCGAGCGTTTCGGTAGGAAGTTTTTCCCTCCTGCTGAAACAATCTCGTGTAAGTTACTTCGCCGATGCAATACCTTTCCATCTTCCCCATTACTACACGGCAATCGTTTGCATCTTCTTCTTCAGTACAGTTTAAGACTTTGAACACTTAAAGGCCATCGTCATCAATAACCAGGGGCACCCAACGACCGTTTTCTCTCGAATGCTTTTAAACGCTGTTTTAGGCTATCTGGAGTACTTTTAAAGCTCTGTAGGTTAATTTTAGGTTGCGCTAAAAAAATTTTAATCTGTTCGGTTATTCTAGGGGAACTTGGGTATTCTCGAATTTATTAAGGCTTTTTTGTCCGTTCCCCGAAAACCTTTGGTCTTATCGCCTTTCCGAAAGTGATAGCTGACCTTTTTTCGATACCCAAAACAACATTTTTTTACGATCCGAAAACAACAGACATTAAATTTCTCATATCACGAAAGTTCGAGGTGACAATTCTCTTTAGAAAATCAGAGGGTATTAGAGGCCTTTCGAACAGATAATTTACCGAAACCATCCGTTGGGTGCCCCTGAATATAACGTCCTTGAACATGGCGAGTTGATTCTCAGGGCTTTCCCGCTCCAAACCAAGTAATTATTACAGTATTTCTCTTACCATAGCTTCCAGTTCTCGGGGATCTCGCCACTTAATTGACCTCAAATCTCAATGTTGCGGAGACAATGATATATGGTGGAATAACATTGAAAATTGTGGTGCTTTAGGGGGCGAGTCACCGGAAGTTGTTTTCGCTCGTAGGCATTCGTAGACGGTAGACGTTGTCGACGAATTTGAACTACCCTTTCGCTACAACGTGTAATATTAGATGGCAGAGAGAACCTTAAACGAACGTCATCAATCAAGGTTTAATGGGGCTACTGTAACTCAAGATACGCAAAGTGAAGGCGTATTTTAATATATAACTGTATGTATAGCATAAATTACAAAGCCGTTGCAGAACATAAGCGTACATATAAAGAATGTTTGGCAAATTAGCATATTATAATCTTAAAAACAGGTATGTCCGCCATTTTGAATAATCAAATCTAGTCGGTGTCAGAAACTCGTTTGTCCAGTTTGGCTATGACATCAGAGCTTTCTCATTAGCTCACAGCCAAGCCTTTTTTCTTTCGCTTTATCGGTGCGACACCACCCGGACGGTTGGGCGGCCAGTTAACTCCACCGCAATATACACAACTCTCTTTAATCTCTCTTAAAACAATATACCTCCTGGATATATAATCAGGTATTCTTCCTCAACCACCCCCCTAAATATCCCCCCAATATCCCCTCACAGCCTGCATTTCATTAATCCCCACATATACCTACAGCCTACATCTCATTAATCCCCTACATATACCTACACAGCCTACATCTCATTAACCCCCCACATATACCTACAGAGCAATACATCTCATTAATCCCCTACCGTATACCTACACAGCCTACATCTCATTAATCCCCTACATATACCTACACAGCATACATCTCATTAATCCGC